TATATATACAGTAAAACTTGGTTATAGCAACATCGGTTTCTGCGACACCTTGTCTATTGCGTCAAATATTCAATGGCATGAACTAATTCCTCATAAAGGAACTGGTTTTATACCTTGCTTAGTACGACATGCACAAATGCATCAACCTCGTATGTAACGTCATTTTCATTCCTGAATTTCTCTGATATCGTGGGAAAGTTCGATGTGTCTGCCCACCCTCACTTTCTCTACTTGCTGACGTGACTGTCCTGGAAGAATACGACCGCGGGCTGCAAGAGGAGCGTGGGTTTTATGCGAAAACAAGGGTGTGGGGTGGGACTGCGTGAATAGTGCAAGAGGACGCGGCAGGTTGTTAACTGCATTCCTTTCCTAGAATCTCGTCTAACAGGACCTCACATTGTCTACTTCCCCTAAAGTGTTCCTGCCTAAACCCAGAGAAGTGCAGTAGCGAAAACATGGCAATGAAAAGGAAAGTTTTAAGCATTGAAGAGAAAGTTAAAGTGATTCGTGAAATATTGTGTGTATTGTCAGTGAAAAGCGCTGTAATATGTCTTTGATATTACACATTTGGGCAATTCCACGTTAATGTTACGTTAGTCTGTACTTAACTACGTATTTCACTAAAAAATGCAACATTTTAACTCGGTTTTTGGTAGATTTTTACGTGACTAACATAAGGCTACTGTGGAAGTGCCCATTTCGGTTACAACGACATTCGTTTATAACGACACTATTTTTATGTCCCTTTGATGACGTTATAACCAAGTTCTACTGTATATACATTAACCCTTTGTTATAGAGCTACATTCGGTCATGGGGGAAATGTTTCTTCAGAAATAGATGAGCTCCGTTCTTCAGTAAATAAGTACAGGGAATGAGCAACATTTTACAAAGAAAACTGTTATAATGCAGGTTCAGAACCATTCCTACATGTATCGCTATTTGGAGCAATAGTTGTGACATCTCAAGGCACTGCAAATGCGCTCCGGAAGTGAGTAAACGTCTATCCGTTTCTCCTGTCATATCCAGCCCTGCTTTCAGTAGTTGTCAGTGATTTCCGTACGAAGTGAAGGAGAATGAACTTTACTGTAGCGATCTCTCCGTACCTGGCAACTAGTGCTAACCAGGGTTGTCCTCAAGAACCTCAAGAGCAGTAGCTTGTAGATAGATTTAAGAGTAGGTTTATTTTTTTATGATATATACGTAATTAGTTATCAGTAAGCAAGCGAATGAAATATTTTGTAAAAGAAATACCGCGCGCATGTGTGTGTGTATATATATATATATATATATACGTTTGGGGTACGCGGTAGCGTAGTTGGTTGAGGAAGTATGTTAAAGCCGGAAGGTCGCGGGATCGAAGTCGACTCAGCCTCTGACAGAAATGAGTACCAGGAATATTCCATGAGGTAAAGGGTGGCCGGTGCGTGAGACTGATGTCGCCGCCATCTGTGAGGCGATTGTCTAGAAAATGTGGGAGCCTCAACATCTCAGAACCCTATGGGCCTCCACGGCCTGTTAGAGGGTTACCTTTACCTTTTTTTATATATCAGTTTGGAAACTGAAAAAAAAACGCGGATATTAAAACCCATAGAGTTCAATGCGAATAAACGTTGATTCGCCTAGCTAATTTTAGAATAAAGTAAGTTTTGTGTAGGCTATATATACGTACAGGTGTGTCATAACATTGATAACTCAATAAATGTTTTGTAAGAAGCTTGCTATTCGTCAACTCGGAGAGTCTTTAATTACCATTTAGGTATATCATTTCCATAAATAATAATTCGACATTAAGTGATGTTTATACATGAAAATCTGACCGTAAGAATTCAGACTGAAATGACGTAAGGATCAATGAAACTGAGGACATAAGAATTGGATTTCCTGCTTTTGAAACTACTTTTTAGCATCATGCCCCGAACAATTACGCAGTTAATAAAGGATTTGCCGTACTGTGTCACAAGATCTTCCATTGAAAGTACACTTTCATGTCCTAAATATTTTGTACACAAGATTTTGAGTCGTAAGTTCAGTTTTCCTTAATGTCATTACAATAGAAGAAAGCTTGTTCTAAGGACTTGAAATACTTTCACATGCAGGTAATTTAGTCGGGCTCCTTGTCTGCACAGTCCACTCCTATCTTGGAGCCGAGGGAGCGGACTATGTCTCGAGGGATGCGCCGGTCTTCCACCTGTTCTCAATCCTTGCCGTCCACTGGGACCGCCTTTGTCCAGATAGAATCCGCTTCCGCATCGAGTGCTGGAAACAGGATTTGATTTTGAAAACAGGAATTCTACGAATAAACCGATTACTACCAAGGACAGGGAATAGGCGTACAAAGATTCGTGGGTAACAGAATTTTCTACATTGCAGAAAAGATTAAAATGCGTTCGTTTGTAGCTTATCTAACCACGATATAATGCACGCAGAGCTCCATGCAGGTTCTGTGGCGCTAAAGGCATTAGTTTTATGTGGAGCATATACCATGCATGGGATATAAGAAATTCGTATAACGTTTTAGTCGGAAAACCTGAAGGGAGACTTACACGTGGACATAGATGGGAGGATAATATAAAGAGAAATACTAAAGAAGTAGCACTGAATATGCGAATGAGTGGATATTGCTGGAAATGGTGGTGTGATTCAAATTGGTAATGAAGGGTATAAGGGCGCGATAAGTAGATAATGGAAGTATGAGACTGAATAAAGCAGAAAATTGAGAGGCAGGCGTATTGAAGGGTAATATTAAAATAGAAAATACACGAAGGTAATAGAGGGTCAGTATCTAGTACAGCTTAAAATACAATAAGACCGTCATACAATCGGAATAATGTCACGGGGAACAATCGAGAGAAACTAAATTACGGATTCTAGAGGACCAAACAAAACAGAAGCAAGATATGCATTCATAATAGTATACTTGAAAAAATAATAATTATAATTGCTTTGGATAAGATACGTACTGTATAGAAGAAAATAATTTGGATATAAAATTTGTAAATTTTGTCACAACACAAAGAATTATAAATGAGATCCTAAAACCGTTATCAGTTTTTATGTGTGCAATAAAGAAAATACGTGACTTGCTACATCGACATTGTCTTATGGTAGTGATTCATGACAATAAGAACTGTTGATCGGAGGCTGGTATCGGCAGAAATGCGTTTCGTGAACAGGACTGCGAGGTACAAATTTTCAGACCGCGAAAGAAAGA